GTGAAATTCATCCCAAACTGTGGAAACGCTTCAACACACGTAGTTTTCTCTGGTAATTTAAAACGTCTAAACCTCTACATTGCGTAAATATCTCAACACAAAGGACTGAAAACATGTGCTTTCGCTTTAAAGACGCCTCCGGGAGACACACTCACCGGTGAATCCGGGAGAACACAGACAGGAGAAGCTGCCCACTCTGTCCACACAGGTGGCTCCGTTGCTGCAGGGCTCTGAAGCACACTCATTCACATCAATCTGACAGTGAGCCCCCTGGAAACCCGGCACACAGAAGCAGGAGTAGCCGTCCCCGCGGATTCGACATATCGCCCGGTTTTGGCACGGGTTTGGGGAGCACAGGTCCACAGATGGAGGCAGCTTGTCGGGGGATGCACCTATGAACAGATCATGTTTGGAAATGTTAACATCAGATGGCATCATAGACTCAAGGAAGAAAGCTGCACCCAAACAAAACAAAACGGCATTTTTGTTGCTCTTATTCCTCAAAGCTTTTGCCTGATAGTAAAGTCAAGCCTGTTCTGGTGACATATCATTAAAATCTAGTTTATAGCATCTAGTTGTGTGAATGTTAACATACAACGATCCACGTTTTGAGTATTAACCACAAGAAGTTGCCTCAGTAGCCTTTCAAACTCCTCAGGAAGCGATGTGACAGAAAGAATCCAGTTCAAACAATCGATTGACTCGATTTCATGTCTGGCGTGAAGCTCTTTTCTCTTTGATTAAAACACTGGCGAGCATTTGTTGCCACAAGGCCTTTGAGGGCCTCTCAAGGCGTCGTGACTGGCTGCCATGGCAACCAGTCCCAGTGTTTGGCTTCAGCATTCAATCTATTTCCATGGCGACTGCATCCAACCGTGGATTCGAGGCGTTTATTCCTTTGCGGAGTGTTTTTTAATGACATTAAACAGCACACAGAAGATCAGCACTTGATCCTTTTCCACTCACGGCGACAAAAAAAACAACAATTTTCAAAACGTATATGATTAAGTCGTGTGTGTTGAACTTTGTTTTCATCCTAAAGACTAACATTTAAATTATTTTTTCATGTTAATGTAGTTAAATCATATTCTACTTAAGTTGTTGTAAATTTACTGTTTTTTTTTTTGTTGTTGTCATTTTCACAAACTAAACTGTTGTCTCGTCACAGATGTTGCACACCAACTCTTTCATGTTAGAACAAATACAAATTAGACTTTTCTTCATTAACCGACGCTTAAGATTCTCTCTTGACTTAAACAACAGGAGTCACAAACAGCCACAGCTTCCATGATCACACAACAACATAAAACACAGGAGCTACCATGTGCATGTCCGTGTTTAGGAGACTGTTTTATTTATTCTAAATAAAAAAATACAGTCAAACTACAGGAGATGCACCAGAAGTCTGATGCCAGAGACAACTGTTTGTTATTAACGACATTAATTAACAAGCTGATCCCTATAGAGGCATTTTGTCGGCTCTTCTTGAGTTTTCTTGAGTCACAGTTCATCATGTGGTTAATATTTGGTCAATGAAGTATAATTTTTCTTTTCTGCCAACAAATGTTTTTGTCACGATTGAACTGTATGTTACAAACTAAAGCGGTCGACTGAAATCAAAGCATAAAACACTTCTTCTGAAGCCACGTTGCCGGGCTGTAAAATTGGAAATCTGATTTATGTTGGCAGTCCTTCAGCTGCTAACATGCAAACTGCTCATTTAAGAGAAGCAAATGACTAAAGTACATCTGACTTAAACTACAGGCTTTAATATTTCTTATTGTCTAAATACGGGGAAAAAAACATGCTTCTTTTGTTTGTTACCAATTGAAGCAATTACTTTAAAATGATGAGATAATTCCCACTTAACAATGTATGCCATACACCATTTCATGACTAGAACACGGCTGGAAATGTTAAAAAAATGTGGACTAATGTGGAATGTGCTCTGTGTGTATGACGGCATTTTCTATCTCTATCTTCACAGCTAATTACAATTAAATAAAAAGCAAATTAAGACATATTAAGAAAATGTCCTTAACTCCATAAACCCCTTAATAATCCCCTTAAGCTTCTTGGACTCCATGCAGTGTGATCATATCACGTACAGATTCTGCACCCAGGATGTGGCCAGACAGGCTCAGGCAGCAGTTTCACTGTGACCTGCAAAACCAAACTTGTCGGGAGCCTCGTCCCGGTGATGAAGCATTACTTTTTTCCTCACTCTTGCTGACTAAAACCATATATCACGTCTGCCGTGAGACTCGCTCCCTACAGCTTTTGCATATGCTTGAAAACATCAAAGATGAATAGCTACCGGCGAGGCATCTCAAAATTGGCATACTCCAGGCAGAACAAATGGGACCAGCTCAGAGGCAATGATCCTCGTAATCCGAGGAATGTGCATAAGGGGACAAAAAGGCGTGATGCCACAGAGAGGAGGTTTCAAATCAGCTGAACAAGTGTCGCTTCTATTAGATGACAATCAGACTGCACCACAGTTCTCAAAGCCTTTTGAGCAGCGCATGAATATCAGATGAACACTCGAAAGTGCGTTTTGCATCGTCGTAACCGGAGAGATTCAAAATCACGATGAGGCTGGAGGCCACGAATGCAGCCCTGCTGATGTGGACAAAGATGTTCCAGTAATCACACAGTAATCATCTTTCAAGAGCACAATCAGGCTGAGAGACTATAAAGACGCAGAAGAGCACAATTACGCTTGGCGCTCCGTCTTCCCCAGCTCAAACACCAACCTTCTGCCATTGGTGGAGGTCAATCAATTTCACAGAGAGCCAGTGGGCTTCTCCAGGAGCAGCTTATAAACGTCTAGACTTGGACTCAGTGTGGCCGAGGTATGGACCGTATGGCCTGGGGTTATGATGGAGATCAAGGGTATCAGCGCTGACCATATGCCTGTATTAGCGCACATTACAACCAGGGTGGGCTTTTACATTTAGGCCACATTACATTCAGATTTTCCAGAGGTTTATAGCTCAGCCTCGAACATATTCACTCCTATAGATTAACATGTGATGTGGAGGAAATCACAACAGGTGGTGTCTGTTTCTGCTCGTCTCTGAATCTGCTGCTCTTTGGTCCCTGAGGCAGAGTTCAGAGGATTCATGAGCCAGGACCGCAGCTCCAGCCAACCACACATCCCCTCCCACAGCATGTAAGGCTTTTTCATATGCAAATAGCAAATCAAGGTCTTTGTCTGGGCCTATCTGGAGGCCTTCAAATGGCACATGCGGGACACCTGACATCTCCGCTGGACTGATGCATGCTGCTGCTGTCTGTCTGTTTGTTTGTTTCAGTGGCGATAAGAAGACATGGGTGTTCTGGTGAGACACAGAGACATATAGTGCATCCCCCTCCTCTTTTGTCCCATCACTTGTCCACAACCCACAACCGCCCCTCCAGTCGTCCCCTGTTTTGCCCCCCATTGTTAGAGCTTTTTAGTCATCTTTAGCTTTTCAGCCCTTTAGAAAATAATCACTATAGGCGATGATGTCACCTCACAGTCTTGTAATTAAAATTCCAAGCATGGACTGGTTAGAATTCAAGCTGAACTCACTTAAACAAACAGAAAATGGAAGAACATTTCCACAGTTTTGATTATTTGAAGGAGGTATTTGTATTAAAGTGTTAATAAAAGTGTTTTGATGCAGCGCTGCAGAATCCGTCCGAAATAATAAGATGCAACATTTTCTCTTGTTTGCTTGAAAGTCTAGTTTCAAGCTGGACAAATGCAAAAATCCCTGATGCACTACTGACAATATAGCAACAGCATGACATGAAACAAAAACCCATAACTTAGAAAACAACAGCAGACAGTGAAGTCAGAGGAGAGAAAGGAGCAGCCACTTACCATCCACCACAAACAGTGAGGAGATGAGAATTGTGCAGGCAAGTAACTCAAAAGTGTGACAACGGATTAAATCCATAATCATGACAGGAAACCATCCTGTTCGTTGTGTTTCAGTCCAGTCACACGCGGATGTGTCTCCTCCTGGATCTCTGTGCGTCTGTCTGCGGCGGCTCCTCTGTTGTCAACTCCAGATCCACTTGATGCGCTCTTGTGTTGCTGCTGGAGCACCAGCAAGAGCCCCATCAGCCCCATCACACGAGAAACAGGAAAAGACCACAGCGTGTCGTCCAGCGGACACACACACACACACACACACACACACACACACGCAGTGACAGATCACATGGGAGGAAGGTACAACAAGCCCAGCGTAAACAATTTATTAATAATACTAATCAAAAATAATAATTCATAAAATGTGACATAGTTTTCAATACTATAATGTTGCTAATGTTAGATGGCTGTATTGTGCACACAGTAATCTATCTCAAGAACATAAAAGCTAACCAAGAGGAAAAATTTATTTTTATGTCTAAAAAGCTAACGAGCTGTTAAGCTAATGCTACATTAGCTCGCTCGCTTTAGCACTAGCCAGCTAGCTTAAATTCTTCTTTAGTCTCGCCAAGTACTCCTGGTGACAAACTACTGTTTGTGTACACGTGTAGTGTGTTTGTGATCATCTAAGTGTGAACGTGTTTGTGTCAGTGTGTGTTTGTGTGTGTTTGTGTCAGTGTGTGTGTGGCTACCTAGCTAGCTTGAACTGGCTACTGCAGGCTACGTCCTCAGTTATGTGACATTATTTCTAAATATATGAATACTGGTGATAAAGTAGTTAATCTCCCTAAGTGTGAATTGTTCTTGGTCTGTTTATTCAAATTTAATTGGAAAAAGTCTAACCCTTGAAAAAACAAAAACAATTTCTGTATGTGTTAAAATTGGATGGAAGCAGTGCCAACATTTATAAATAAAATTATTTTATCCTTAAATATCAAGTTTGTAGAGATCAAAAATTACACGTGATATATATTTCCTACATGTCCATATGTCAGCAACAAAATAAAATAATCTATTTTTGAAAATAAAAAATAAAATGAGCAAAAAAGAAAAGATGGCAGAGCCACTGATTGATTAAAGAAGAATTACAGTTTTTGTTTTTGTTGTTGTTGTTTTTTCTTTAATGGACATACAAAACTATCTAATAATTACATTACAAAAAATAACTAAACAAAGAAATCATTGTTTTTTATGTTTGATATCTATCGTGAGGTTTTTCTTCGTGGGTGCTGAATTAATGTTTTAATATTAAATGATCAAAGGAAACTAAACTGCGGATGTCTGCGTATCAGAACGTAGCAGACATGATCCATATATTATGTTATTATGTTGGGACAGCGGTCATGTCTACGGACTGATCCCAGATCAGCTGTCTGCTGACCGCTGGAAGCGCCACGCGTTTCCATAGCAACGCCACCAGGAAGTTGAAGCCCCGAGGAGAGTGCGACAGACTTTTTTTCTCAACTTAAAAAAAAAAACTGGCCTCTCGCCCACACGACGCTGTCAGAATTGCACAATATGATCTCCACGACGCCCGTGTAGCGTCCCCGCCGCGAGTTCAGGATGTCTGCGTCCACAAGAGGCGGTTCAGCGCCGGAGCGAGCGGTGGACACCAGAGGTGACCCGGACCGGAGGCTAGCTTAACGCCGCGCTGCTAGTTAGCTAACAGATGAATGAGAAACAAACACAACACGGGCTGTGGTTAGAGACACATTACCCAGACTGCCAAGGCACACATCAGGTCATTTCTAATCAAATTCAGTTCAGTGTGCTTTGTTTTTTTTTGATATGAATGTCAGATGAACAATATTGGTAGATATGAAGGAAGGTGTAAATGACAGAATATGACAAGGAGAAACTACTTTTTTAGGTAGAAGGAAAGAGGATGAAAGAAGGACAACAGCAAAACAGTCAAAGGCCTGTTAGTGTCTACAATAAGCTATGTCAAGGAAACTATCTGTCATGTTCAATTATGTTTTAATTATTTGTCTCTGGTGTCTGTCTCCTAATAGAATATGTGGCGTTTCATTGTCGACTAGCTTTGTGCAGTTTGGGTAGAACAAGTCAAGTCACTGTTATTTATACAACACATTTCAGATGGCCGCTTTTGAGCCAAAGTGCTTTCATAATGGCAAATAAGATTGCCATTATGCATTTACCTAATAAGGTTAAATATTAAGGTTGATATGCTATATATGGTATCATTTGTCGTATGAGATTTTCTAAATAATTTAAACATCATGATTAAAGCCTACAATATGATATTTTAAAAAATAATTGGACGGTAAATAGGTATTATGAAGACATTGACAACGTTTCCCAAATTTGTAATAAACCAAAGAAACCAAAGAAAAATCAGAAGCCTTGTTAGAGTTCCTTGTGCATCATGCAGTAAAAATATAGGCTTGTTATTATGCTTGGAGACACGTAGCATTGTGCACCTTGCTGGTTGTCATTTACATTTTGTTTTTCTCACTGGCAGAGCTGAACTTTCCAGTTCCTGTGGAGGGCACAAAGACGGAGCCTCCTCCTGTCCAGCAGCAGTTCATCCCACATGAGCTTCTGGTTGGCTTCACTTCCACTGTCTGCAACAGGAGCACACTGGGGCAAACTGCACACATTGTTTAGCATTTACCTCCTCACTTCTCCAAAGTGACTCACTCATGCACACATTTGGTTCCATTTTATTGGAGTTTATTGGGGGGAAACGTATAATGTTGCTCTCAGTCTTCTGTCTGTCTGCTAATATAAAACACCATAGATTGAAACAATAAGGGTTACATGAGAAAATATGTTTTTTTTTAATATATATAATTCTAAGGAATGAATCCTAATGATGGTCTGGGAATGATGTCTCACTGACTAACTTAAACACTGTATAAAACTTTCATTTCAATGCTGTCATTTATCTGTCAAAGTGAGACTTGTGATCAGTGTTCTTTCGCTGACTCTCTGTACAGGGTCGTGGAGTTACACGGCCAGATCCAGTCTGGCATCATCCACTTGGACGCAAGAAGTATAAACACTTTTTGGAGCAGCCAACGTCTCTGACTGGAGCCGGAAGGTCACTCTCACAAAGACTTCAATGTGTCTTTATGTAATCAGTGCATGAACTAATGAGACTAAGGAGCATCTTCTCTGATTGTCATGCATGGTCGATACAGGGATATTTCATTCCTTTGTGATGCCATAGTAACGCAGAGGAAGGCAACACCGCTCCCACCAGTGACTGGCCAGAATAGCAATGGAGACACACAAGTAAGCTGCCTCATCTGACCTGTTCTAACTTCCCGGCCTTTTGACCCTTTATGCCTTCATGACAAAAATACAGAGTGTCTCACAATGTGCTTGTCCTTAATTAACTTTTTACATTTATCATAACCTGTCTGATAGGTAGTTTATGACTAAACCACAAAGGAGGAAAAAAGAATGTAAACAAAAGGGACACCTTATGGATTATTGTGTATGTGTCTGTTCTGTGGTATAAGAGGAACTTTCATGTTTGTTAAAAAGTTTAAAATGTGACAGTTGCTTTGTCATGTTGTGTATTTTTGTAAAGGGAAATACCTACTTTACATAGAAATTCAAGTTATTCATATTTGTCATATTCTGTGGTAGGAAGTTTTCCAGATGTGTTCAACATGTGTTGCCGTATTGCTGCACTGATCAGCCACAACACTACAACCAGCTGCATAACATTGTCAAAGTGTCTCTCATGCCACCAAAAAAAGCTCTGACCCTTCGAGTCATGGGCCTCACAGTCCTCTAAAGGTGACCCGTCGTCTCAGGCACCAAGACGTTAGCAGCAGACACTTCATGTTCAATGCAATGTTGGGCTTCCATGAGTTGGACTTGTTTTTGCAGAACATCCAAGAACACCTGGGAAACTGATGATGTTTGTAGTGTACCAGAGTGCACTGCATGAATGCCTGGACCCGAGATTTCCCAGCAAATTGTTGAGTGTCACAGCACCTCTGCTGGTTTGCCTTCTTCCCATAGTGGATCCTGCTGCCATCTCTTCCTCAGGGAAATGATGCACATGCACCCAGCTGTCATATGATGTAAAAGAAAATGTGATTCCACCCTCTTTTATTGCTCTTTGATCCAGTTCTTCTGACACTGTAGGTGTTTTTAGCGGCAGACAGGGGTCAGCATGGACACTCTGACTAGTCTGCAGCTTCACAGAGCAAACTGTGATGCCTTGTGTGTTCTGACAACTTTCTATCACAGCCAACATTAAGGCTGCAGCTATTTGGACTATATTAGGTCTCTTATAGGATTAAACAACAGGGTCTTTGCTCTACACACACATCAGTGAGCCTTTAGCATTTATGACCCAGTCATCAGTTCACCTGGTGTCCTTCCTTAGTAGCTACTAACCACTGCCCACTGGGAACACCACAGGCTCTGATCCAGTCGTCTAACCATTTCATTTTGGCTCTTATCAGAATCACTGAGATCCTTACGCTGCCCATTTTTCCTGCTTCCAACACATCAAGAACTGGCTGTTTACTTGATGCCTATTGTATTCCACCCCTTGACAGGTGCCATTAAAAAAGACAATCAGTGTCGGTGCTTTTAACATTGTGGCTGATCAGTGTACTTGTACACAAGTATACAATGAGAAGTGATAATCGTGGTCACTCTGTCTTTCAGAACTTGAGCATCTCAGAAAGTCTGATCCCAGAAGAGTATCACATTGTGAAAAACAAAGGGATACAGAGCCTTGAGTTCTATGAAGAGTGAGCTTCATTATATTCAATCTACTCTTTCCCTTTTCACTGTGCAGCCTGATGTTATCACTGTCAAAGTGGAGCTTTGTGTCAACTCTTTTGTTGTTTCTCTTCCTCAGTGCATTCACAGTGCAGCTGAAGGATGATGAGCAGAAGCTGCGGGTCTTCCCTTCACTGTGAGTTCCACGATATGGTTTAATCTAATAGACAGACAAGTTTTGGATGAGTAATCTTCACTGGGAGATTTTGTAGTCTGAGTTACGAACAATACAGCTTCACTCTAAGAGGGAAAAAATATTGTGCACTATTATACTGAAAAGAAAAGTGTTGAATGTCAGCAAGGGAACCATAAAAGTGTTGTGATACAAACCTGCGTGTCTCCTGTGACCAGGAGGCCCAGTGGCCGGCTGGAAGTGGTCCAGCTGATGACTGTGATGGACGACATGCTGGAGAAGGCTGGAGTGGATCAGCAGAGTGAGGAGCTGACTGAGCTCTCTGAAGTAGGCACACAGACCGACATGAGTTGTTCTTTGCCTCTATGACTGACACGACTGAAGTTCATGACGCACGTAGACCTGTTTTTATGCAGAGAGAAAGAGAAAAGACTTGGTGTGCTTTAAGTCCTGCAGAGCTGTGGGTGCTGCTAACTGACAGATTAACATTATTTTAAAAACAAAAAAAAGGACCCAGTGTTTGTGGTAGTGACTACACACTCACTGCACCTAAATATGATGGGGGCTCTTTTATTAACACTGACAGCAACAGTGACTTTGCTCAGTGCTCACTTACTCAGGCTTCTATGCAGCTTTTGTACACATTTGGATATTTCTTGCCTCATAAAAATGCAGCATGCTGAGACAGTGTACCATTAACATGACTGTCATAATCAAGACACATTGAGAGATGTATATTTGTATATGAAAACCAGAGCAGTCAGATATTACAGGAAGCATGGCCATACAGTGTGCACATGTGTGAAAGTGTGATTTGTCTTACAGCTGGAGGGTCTGCTTGAGCTGGTGAAGGTTGAGCAGAACATCTACAACATTGTTTTCCATGAACTGATCAGGCAGGTCAGTGTGGGCTGTGCTGAGAGAGGACAACTGCTTGCAAAACTCAGGTTAGCAGCCAAAACAGTAGGACATAAATGTTAGAACCTTACCTCTTGTTTCATGAACCTTACAAGCTTTAAGACCAAATGATCAAAATAGAAATGTAAGTAAAAAGTAGTAACTTTCTAACTTATGTTTTGGGAGAATCTTTTCCAGTTCTGGCTTCAGTTAGGCTTCTTTTCCCAGCATCTTGTGTGTTTGTTTGTCCAGGCAGCGCTACCAGTCCCTGCTGGATCGAATCCCACGCCGTCTGAAGGCTTTGCACACTGAGGTGGTGGCACAGCGGGCCCTGGACCGCCGGCTCACAGAGGAGATCCACCGAATCAAGACATCCATCCAGCAGCTAAGCACGTACGTAGGTCAGGGTCGGACTGCTGGGTGATGATGAATGATGTTACTGTGGGCTGTTTAGCTTAGAAACATGTTCATGGATTCATTCTGTTGTTAGAGGAAATAATAAATGCAAAAAGACCACATGCGCATTAGTCCCTGGCTCTCTTTCCACTCACCCCTCC